GGAGATCGGGGACGGGGACACGGGGAGTCTTCAATGCGCCGGGACCCGCAATGGCTTGTAATGTGTGAAGGACCGTTCTCTGCCTCCCGTGGGATAACACACGGATGCACGCGTTGTCGCTCTCCTTCCTATCATGGAGGGGACAACTCCTCTGGGGAAATTAATTGTGGATCCCATTTTATTATTATTATACCTTTTTATTATTTATTTTTTATTATTATTATTATTATTATAACCCCTGTTCTCGCCAGCGGCATCTCCGAGCCCAGTGGCTCTTAAGGAGAACAGCCTTTATTGAAAGCGGAGCAGATAAAGGCCAAACAGAGCCCCGCTGCCCGCCTGTCGCTGCGGCCGAGCGCGCTGGGGCTGACTCACCCCCTCCTGATCCCCTCGCTGGGTGTGTGTCATCGGCTTCGTGTCGCGGCTCTGTTAACCTTTGGTTCCTCGTACCCCGTGGTTAACACCTCAAGGCTGCTCCTTCCTAATCGGTGATGTTCAAGATATGTTCTTTAACACAGCTAGCAAAAGTTTGGGTTGGTTTTTTTTTTTCTCTGCCTCTTACTGTTTCCAGCAAAAGGAGACGTCTGCCTTGAAACCGGTCGCTTGCGTTCCTCTGATGTGTTTTGGCATCTTGGTTGTATTAATATCTTCCCAGGGTGGACTCTGCTGCCTGGTTCATTAAGCCTTTGCTTTCTAATGTCGCATTAGAGTTAGAAATCTAACGTGATTCGTAGATCGCACCATCTATCTCAGGGTTTCGGTGATGCCCCATGGCTATGAAGACGGGGTGGGGGCTCTGGTGTGCTCCCCGAGCTCGCGTTTCTCCCACTTGGTGGGGTGGGAAGAGGAAACGTTGTGTTTGTGAGCAAAGCACCGAGCTCTGGGGCATCTTCGCCGCTATAACCCATGCAGCCAGCGGTGAGCTCCCCGTCTGCCCACCGCAGAGCTGGTGTGTGGCATCCCCTCCCGCTCCAGCCGAAACCCTCCGAGCCGTGGGCACTGAGCCCCTCTGCAACGTGGAAACCGCAGAGTCTTATTTTCCCCTGGAAATCTCTTGTTTCTTATGTCGTTATGGACCAGAGGGAGGTCAGGACCTGCTCCGTGGCATGCTGCGTGCCCGCTGGCTCCGGTGCCAGAGGGGTCTCACCCGGACACATCAGCCTGGCACGGATGCTGCCGGCTCCGGCGGGTCCCGCTCCAGCAGCAGGAGAGGCCACCGGCGAGCCCAGATGGCAGCAGAGGTGTGTCTTGGCTTCTCCAGAAGATGACATAAAATGTTTGGCAGCTTTTCCTGAAAGGTGTTTCCAGGCCCAGCTGGACGCGCCGTCTGGATGGGAGGCAAATATGTGAGGTCTGAAGGAGCGTCTCCCTGGGAGCGTGTGTCGGGGAGGAATCGGCTCCATCCCGCCGCGCCGCCGGCTCTCTTGCCTCCCAGCTTTATCCTGGCACCGCACGTGAGCCCCGGCGCCCATCTGCGAGCATCCTGCAAGCTCTTTGTTTGCTGGGCCACCCCAGCTCCCCCACCCGCCGGTGGTGACCTTCTCATCTTGGTGACAACATCCCACCGTCCGCAGTGCACGAGGGGAGCTGCGGGGAGGCGGATCCCTGCGAGGGGCAGCCTTGGCTGCACGGCTGAAGGCTGCGACAAGAGCCCCGAAGGCTCTTTGCTCCCCAGACAGGCAGAGGCAGCACCTGACAGCCCCTCGGCACAGGGTCAGATCCTCGCCGGGAGGATGGAGGAGGTCAGGGCGTCTCTCTCTGCACATCTGCTTCCCCCCGTCATGAAAATGGGGCGTCTTTCTGGCCACTCACATCTGGACGTTGGCAAAGCCGCTGTGTCGGGGCAGGGTGGGCAGCTGGGCGCCGCTTCCTTCCCCGTTGGAGCCGTCGAGTGAACCGTTGGGCTTCATTCAGCCTCTGCAGAAGCTGCTTCTGCTTCTGGGTGACTTGGGTGGGACAGGGGACCAGGACCGGCACATCTGGGCTGTGGCCGTGTGCTGTGTCAGCTCCCTCCTGGGAGAGCTGGAAGCTCCAGTCTTAAAGCCGTGTAGAGCTATGTTAAAAGAGAAAAAAAAAAGAAAAAAAAAAAAGAAAAACAAAAAGCAAAAAAAAAAATCAACAACAAAGCAAACCGGGACTTTTCAGCTCCTGGGTGTGATGGGAAGGGATGCTGATGTCAGTGTCTGGCAAACAGAAATAAGGACGCTTGTGTTCCGCCAGCCTCCGCCCTCCAGCGTCGTTACGGTTTTCTGGGTGTATTCCTCCCCAGAGGTGGCTGAATGTCCCCCGACGTGGAAGCGCTCTTGTATGGGTGTAGCTCATAAAATCCCTCGGGGCTCTCGAGCGGGCAGCTTGCCGTGGGTCAGCTGCCCCGTGGGACGGGACCGGGGCGCACCGGTAGCCCACAGGAAATTCAGAGTAAACGCGAGTGACCTCAGCCCCTGCTGAGAGAGAAGCAAGATCAGCAGATGCACAGGAAGCTGTTTGTGTGTTTCGGCTCTGGGTGATACCCCGTTTTGCTGTTACGGGGTACTCTGGGGGTCTCCTGACACGGCCTCTGCCTTGCGCAGAAAGCTGCTGCGTCTCATGAAGCGCGTGGGTCGCGGTGTTGCTGAATCCGGCTGCTGCGCACACCAGCTTTCCCCTGTGTTTACATCTGGGTTTGTTTTTTTTTTTTTTTCTTGTTTGTACCCAGATTCGCTACAAGGAGGAGTTTGAGAAGAACAAGGGGAAAGGTTTCAGCGTGGTGGCTGACACCCCGGAGCTGCAGAGAATCAAAAAGACTCAGGATCAGATCAGCAACGTGAGTAACTTCTCATCTCCGCGGGTGATGTTGCGGTGACCCTCCTCCGGCCGGAGGGGCTCTGCCGGCGCAGCCAGGAGCGGACCCGCGCGCTGACGGCTGCTAACGAGCACGCGGGGCTGCAGCATCTTGCAAGCCTGGCAGCGTTAATTCTCCGACCCGTTCGCCCGGGCATCCTGTGACCCTCTTGGACCTCTCCCGGCTCCTCCGTACTGGCAGAGGCATCCAGAGGGGTATAAGAGTCCTTCGCTTCTCCTGAGGTTCTCCAGTCCACGTGTACTGTGAGAAGCGAGGAGGGGAACAGCAGAGAGTGACATTCGGCGGGGGCAGATGTGGACCGGAGGCAGTCCCGTCCACCCCTGGTTGTCACCGTGACCCCCGAGGGACTCCGGTGCCTCTGGCTCGTGTTTGTGCATGGAAGCCCCGGCCGAAGGCACACCTCTTCCTCCTGTCCCTCTGCAGCTGTGACCGTCCCCTGCCAGGCTCTGCCTGCCTTGACCCCTCCTGACTCTCCTGCAAAGCCCTTTCCAGCCCTGCGGCTGTCGGGGGAGCGTTTGCTGCAGCTGCTG